TATGGTTACCCTCTCCATGTTACAACATTTTCTTATCAGAGGAATGTTTTTAAAAACATGGACAAACAGTACAAGATCAAGATACTGAAGTGGTCTCCGGGGACTAGTCAAAAACCAAACAAATTCTACTGATTTTTATTTGGGGAGTTTCAAAATAGAAAGTGAAAATAAAATGTAAATTCAAGGAAGCTTCCCACCAGGAGTGTATAGTTGGTTTGAGGATTGTTTGGTCTCTTGAGGTTTTCATGATTTCTGTCTGCAAAGGGGGAGCAAGATTTTTGTGGAAAAACTTGAGTCTAAACAAAAACGCTGAGAGGAGGAGGGTACAATAAGAATCCAGGAAGGAGACCAGAAAGAAGGAAATCGTCTTTGCTGCTGTTGGGCAGCATCCGATAGGAAAAAATGGGGTCAAAAGCCAACAGAGAAAAAGAGGCAGGCAGGCCCAAACAAGTCCCAAATAATATAATATAAATAGTCTTTGACAAGAGAAAGTCGGGTTTATTGATGTTGCTATTGAGGAATAACAATTAGAAAAAAATAACAAAATGCCAGGAATTAAAGATCCAAGTTCCACACCTCTGGGAAAAAGAAATATGTTGTTATACCAATAATAATTGGAGACTTCAGAAGAATAACTAAAAAATTCCCTGGATATTTGGAATTTTTTAATTTATAGGACATGAACATTCTTAATTTTAACCCCCCCCCCCCAAAAAAAAACCCCAAAACAAAATACCCCACCCTGTTAGGATCTGCCTATATCCTTAATCGTCACTTTAATAATTCTTGGTTAGGACTTGAATTATCAGGATCCTGCCAGTTTTGCATTGTAAATTAAATAGGAGATTCCTCATAATAATTCATTAAACTTTTATGCTACCTGACTCTCAGAGTAAATCCCTAGATTCTTTCTGCTTTGGTAAGGGCTCCATTTGTATTTTAAGCTCAATTTTTGCCCCTTGCCCTAAAAAGTATATCATTTCCCCATCCCACCCCACCCCACCCCACCCCCAGAAAACTGGGCAGGGTTTCTACAAAAGCCACAGACTTTTGGATACTTTTAGATTTTAAATTTGTCTAAGGAAGAGTAAGATTTCACATATTCGGTGGACTAGGAGGAATTTTGGAGTTTTCTACCACAGTGTAGGAAACTTCTCCTGCAGCACCCTTACAGAATATAAAGGCTAAGAGGGTTCTGTGAGACCATCTAGTTCACCCTTCTTTCTAGAGTCTACTCCCTCTTCAGCCCTTTGAGGCTCTTCTCTAAAACCCTGGCTTCTATTTCCCTGACACAGCCTATGCATGATCTTGGGGAGGGAGGGAAGGGTGGGGGTGCCAAGTGGCTGGCCTTGGAGATTGTAAATACAGAGCTAGCAGTAAGAGATACAGAGGCCGGAGGGGAATTGGCAAGATAGATTTTGCCAGAGATCACTGCTGCATAATTTCAAGCCCTGAAAACCAGGGTTATTTATGAGGTGGGCTGAATTCTGAAGACTCCCATTCTTGAATGCAGGACAGGGTCTTCATAGAGGGAGGAAATTGCAAAAGGTTGAAGATAGAATTGAAGCAAGTGCAGTTGGGTGTAATAAAGGATAGTTGATTTAGGTCAGTGTTTTTCAAGCTAGGCCGCTTTAAGATGGGTGAACTTCAACTCCCAGAATTCCCTAACCAACAGGCTGGCTGGGGAATTCTGGGAGTTGAAGTCCACCCATCTTAAAGCAGCCAGGCTTGAAAAACCCTGACATAAAGGCTGGCTGATTTCTTGGAGAGAAACGCACATCCTTTGGCCAGTTTGAGGATTGAGGGAACAGGCAGAAAAAGCAGTGGATAAGGCAGAAGGGCCAGGATCAAACGAATGGCTGACAAGTCTTGGAAAAACTAATAATTGTGGGTACAAGTTGGGTGGGTGAGCAACTAACTTACAAACTTTAGAGTTAAAGTCAGGCTTAACTTTGCTGCACAAACTGATGATGATGTTTTAGCTCCACAAATGGGCTACCACAATTTCCCCTTGCGACTAAAGGATCACCCTAGTCTTTGTAATCAGTTCAAAATGAAAAGGATGTTCTGTGCAAGTGGATCTAATGGGCTGAGCTCCGGTGAGCCAAGCCACCCCCCCCCCCCAAAATCCAAAACCTTTTATTATTTGCTCACATCACAAGACTGTATTGGTCACTGATCTCTCTTGCATGCCAGCTACAAACCCGGTCTTTAGCTTGTAAGCTGCAGGAGGAAAGGTGCAGGTAACTTGATTTGATTTGGCACCAGATAAACACAGGCTGATTGGGCCAATTGTGACTGATCCCTCCCTTTGCTAGCCTCTTCCCAGAGATAATAGTTTGAGGGACTCATGGGCTACAGCAGCCCACTACCAAGCCTTGGGGCTGGCAGACCCCTAGTTAAAGCAGGATGCAGAGACGGAAAGGTTTCCGCTTCTTCTGTTGTGGTCCACCAGCAGCAGAGTTGTACAGAGGGGAGGAACATGGGCCGGTCCGGGAGTCTGTGGGGGACTCGGATGAGATTCCTGCGTCTGATTCATAGATGGGGCCAGGGCCATCTGGGAGTTACGTGCTGAGTCCAGAGCCTCCAGAATCTGACAGCAGCAAGGCAGAGGAACAAAGGGAGCCTGTTCCCAGTGCACATGTGTGCACAGAGCTGACAGAAGGCAAGAACGGTTAAGACAAAAGGGGCGACTCGGGAGTAAGGCTTGAAGGTGATTGGCCCTCCCATAAGACATAAAGGAGGAGCAAAGGGACAGGAATCTTTGCAGGAAGCAACTTTGTTTATACTGGTCAGTTTGAAACTTGAAGCCCGGTGTTGAAGTTGTGTTCCATTTTGGCCTCATATAACTAGCAATAACTGGCAATTTAGTCACTGGTACCATTTCAAGGAAGATAAAGATGCATTCTTATCAGACTTATCCTGAAGGACTTTGGCAGACTTCCATGGGACTATTTAGAAACTGTCTGAGACTCATTACGGGCTGTGAATGATTAAAATTCACAACCGTTGAAATAAAGAAAAAAGGGGTTTAGGGACTAACATGTGTTTGTTAGTGTCTCCATAAGCCTTGGTCACAACATCTCCATCTACCTGTGCCTTGCCTAAGTGTGCAAAAGCGTGAGCACAGAGCAGGTGCAAGTATCACTGAAACATACATTGAAGGGACTTACCAGGGTTGGAACTAGTGTTAACCAGGAGAGAAAGAAAGCAACAGGGTTAGTGGAGAATTGCAAAATTTCACATTGAACCGTAAACTGCTTCACTGAGCTTTGGTTTAAGAGGGTGGAAATACATCTTCTCATCAGGATTTCTGTGTTATGGATTGCGGCTTACGGTGTTGTCTCTGAATGCAGCCAACACTGGCAATATCAAACCTCAGTTGACCCTGAGCCCTAAAGATATGGCATTCAGAACTGGAAGGAGGTGAAATTTATGGACGTGTTTTTTTTCCAGTTTGCTCTTGTTCTTTAGTGCTAAAAATGTAACTTCTTTGTTTAAATAGTACAGGTAGTCCTTAACTTGCAACAACAATTCATTTAGTGACCAACGGCACTGAAAAAAGTGACTTATGACCGATTTTCACACTTATAGCAATATCAATAGTATTTAGACTTATATACCACTTCACAGTGCTTTACAGCTCTCTCTAAGCAGTTTACAGAGTCAACATATTGCCCCCAACTATCTGGGTCCTCATTTTACCCACCTCAGAAGGATGGAAAGCTGAGTCAATCCTGAGCCTGGTGAATTCAAACAGCCAAATTGCAGGCAGGCAGCAGGCAGCAGAAATAGCCTGCAGTACTGCATTCTAACCATTGCGCCACCTTGGCACTGTTGCAGCATCTGCGGGGTCATGTGAGCAAAATTCAGATGCTTGGCACCTGATTCATATTTATGGCAGTTCCAGTGTTGTGTGAACATCTTTTGTGACCTCCTGACAAGCAAAGTCAATGGGGAAGCCAGATTCACTTAACAACTGTATGATTCACCTAACAGTGAAGAAAGGTCATAAAATGGGGCAAAATTCACTTGACAACTCTCTCACTTGGCAACAAATTTTGTGCTCAGTTGTGGTCATAAGTTGAGGAGTACCTGTATGTATATGAACATTAAACACTTTTTCTCAGACTAATTAAGCACATAACCTTATTCTATAGCAGGGTTCTCCAACTTTTAAGACTTCTGGACTGGGAGTTGAAGTCCACAAATCTTAAAGTTGCCAAGGTTGGAGACCCCTGTTCTATAGAACTTGCAAAAAATAAGGATGATACTTGCCTGGATATATTTAAAAAAAAACTCCCAGCTCTATCCTCAACTGTGTTTGAATCACCATTTAATGATGCAGTTTTAGCATCAAAAGGTAATTATGATTTGAACTAAGTGATTCAATAAAGAAATTAAGTGAAAAAAGATATAAGGAAGATAAAGTTTTGAAAATGTTTGTTTTCATGCTCGGGGTTTGAGGCCCAGTTTTCTCACACATTGATCTGTTTCTCTGCAATATTTAACTTGCAGAGTTGTTCCTAAATAAATGATTAATCATCACTGTGTTTTAAAGTCCAGAAAGTTTTTTTTCAAAGCCCAGAAAGTTTTGGTGTTGTAGGTTTGTTTATTTTTTAGGTGTGACTGTCACTGCTCCTTAGAGCAAGGGTCTTCAAACTTCGCAAGTTTAAGACTTGTAGACTTCAACTCCCAGAATTCCTGAGCTAACATGACTGGAGGAGGAATTTTGGGAGTTGAAGTCCACAAGTCTTAAAGCTGTCAAGTTTGAAGACCCCCTGTCTTAGAGTAATACTTCCCAATAGAGTAAGACCCCCCCCCCCCCCCCCCCCCCCCCCCC